GTGTATGTCCTGCCTCTTTGCTAGAGGTGGCGTGTAACCCAACCCCCCACCCAGCGGTCGACACAAGGAGGCGTCCAAGACATGAGTGAACGACACCACATTAGCAGCAGTGTATTGACCGTGTATTGTCCGGATTTATCCACCACAAGCCTTAGCGCGTCATGTTGGTTGATATCTCCGGTGTGTCTAAGCTTAATGTGTATGTTATCAAGGTGCCTACCTATTGATTACCCACCACCTCATCTATACTGGCTTCAAGTGACTGTTAAGCGTTGCTGGGTTGGCGGACGGGTCGCATCTTCCTCGGGACGGTGCTGAGCTCAAGCAGTGGTTCCGTCCTATGTGAAATAGGCTACTGCGCACTCACCGTATTGCGTGCGTCTTCTACGCGTGTGTTTGATGTTGCATACATCATGCTCCACCGCAATTGGGCTACATCGACTTACACTTAAACTTGATCTTAATCCGGATAAAAAATTATTTCACTTTCTTTAAGGCCCAGTTCTGTTATTCGGTTGCATACTCCGTTTCAATTTTGCGTGTTTATTTTCCTTCAAATTATATGGTTGTTTGATATCCCCGGTGTGGCTGCGCTTGATGTGCATGTTGACAAGGCGCCTACCTGTCTATTACCCATTACCTCATCTATACTGGCTACAGGAGACGGTTGGTCGTTGCTGGAGGGGACGGGATTGCACGGTCGCCTTGGTCGTACTGGGCGCAAATAGTGATTCAGTGCACTCAGTGTGGAGCAGATTACGGTATGCATGATTCGCAAAGGAATGCTGCTGACACTATCTGCATGTTGAAGGAATGTGGGCCGGCTTATTTGATGAAACTTGGCTCCCATCCACATACCTCCCGGTCTTATTCATTTGGGTTTCACTGGATATGGAGTGTGTGGATGGAGCTGTGCGTTGTACAGCTCAAGCCACCCATGGTGCATTTGTCTACGCGGACCTCTTGTGCCTGTACCAATGGACGTCGCAGTGACAGGGAAACCTGGTACTGGATGCCGCCAACAAAATATATATATTAAACAGTCCATGAAATGGATATGGAGCTATCGAAAAAACCATGGGAATGAAACGGAATTACAATTCGATTAAAAATCGTACGAATCATGTTTTGTTTTCCACCCGCCGTTTTTTCCTTTTCGATATTTGAGGCATTGAACATGTGAATCAGTGGAATTCTCCACACCCTTCTTTCACGCTTTCCGGTTGCGTGCCATGTCTTCAAGAATGTTAAACCGCTGGCACTCATCCTTGGGTCCCCATACAGAAATATGTACGAGTCCAACGGCGACCAAACATGACGTCATCGATTTCATATCCTGTCGCCAAATAAAAAGCCAACTGCTACGCAATCGTCTTCAGCCCGGTCCGCGACGAGCAAATGGAACGCAGCGCGGCAACGCTCAGACGTCATTTGTAGATATTGACCGAGCCATCTTAACTGGTGCAGCAAAACTTGTTTGTTGAATGGAATACTCGCATTCCTTAAGACACGACATCGGACACTATCATTATGATCTCGGTATTGCCAACACACACGAGGGGTTTTCCTCAAACAACCGTTGTCGAAAGTGGAAAGATGGCGCATGTCCTCCATGCGAATTGGTCAGGTTTCGCTTCCATACAGCGACACTTAACGAACAGATGAACTGTAATCGCGGCCTTTTATCTCTATGGAGGTAGCTCGACCACGCCGCGAGTGCTTGAGCTTGACAAATACTGATCGAGCTTTAGTGTTGCGCTGAGAACCGTCCTTGCTGATATGACGCCCAAGGGAACTACAGCTCCCACGGTAGATGAAACTATCCACCTTTTCAAGCTGTACATCTTCATGGGTGATCAGGGTAGTGTGTGCAGCTCATTCTTGTAACAACACTTCACATTTCGAAGAGGAGGGGCTCATGCCGTACCTAGATACTTAAATGGCCATGCGATCCAGAATTAATTGTATTCTCTGTAGATCGCCACCAGGTAATGCGATATCATCGGACTAGTCTCTCTATCGCTCGCTCACCCAGCAGAGTTTCTAGATCAAAATTTTGCAAACTCTCATGAGTTGTCGACAGCACGTCTTCGATTGCGAAGTTGAAGAGGAATGGGGACATGGGACTGTCCTATCGTACATCGATATTGACAGCGAAAGTCGAGGGAAGCTTGTCGTAGATATGGAGGTGGTATGCGCGTCGACTGACAGTGTACATCTCTGGGACCGCTTTCTTTTACAAGCAGCGTCATGAAGCTGACCGATCAGCCGAGTAAAATGCAGCGCATATCTCTGAAAATAGTGGGGCTATGGTAAATGTGGTGGTATTCGAGGAGCTGACGGAGCGTGAAGTTTTGATCCTCGTATCCACGGTGGGGACAGAAACTAGCTTGTTCTTCACGGGAGTATGATTAACGTATGAACGATATTCTGGTAAGCAGAGTGGATGTCCATAGATTGGATGCAGCCGAAATGAGGCTGCTCCCTTGACGTTTGACACCCCAAGTGGAAGGCACGTTTTATTCATGCCAACTTTTTGCGAAAAACGAGGTCAGCTGCTCAATGATTGTCACGCTTCCGTACTTGAACAGTTTTGGGGAAAAGTCCGTGTGAGCCGGCAGCCTTGCATCACTTCAATCGTCGAATCTCCATGCGTACTTCCGCTTCGTTGGGTTGATCAAATGGGACGAGCCAGGATAGTCAACGAAGTGTACTGTGTGCACCGATGGACAGTGGAGGCCAGTTGAATTGCGAAGGGGATTGCTTGACCCATCGGTTTAACGGCCTCTGTTGTTCGGAGATCCAACTGCATTGCTGTTCAGCTCACTGCAACCTGGCTTCCTGAGGCCAGTGGACCTAATGAATTGAAAAATGTTCTGAGTGTTGCCATAGAGAGAGCTGCGGTCTCCATCTCCTGAGTTCATTCAAACCACGACGCCTCGCGGTCATTGCGCAGGTTTTGCTTGAGCAGCCGGTTGACAATAATAATAATAATAATAATAATAATAATAATAATAATGTGTCAGCTGTATGCCGTAACGGCGCTTCGCTGCCGTGCGACCACCACCAGTCGCATGCGGGCTGAGTATACCGTGAGGACACCCACCCCTACGCGGATTCGAACCCGCGCCGCAAGATTACGAGACAAGCTCGTTATCTCTAGGCTACGGGCCGACAGCCAGCGCCAATCGTTGCAAACGGACTCTGTTGGAGTATTTCTGCGGCTGTGGAACGGTTCCAGAGAACGAGCAGAGATCTAAGCCTTTAATGGATGTCGGGTTAAACCGCAGCTTGTTTGTCCGGAAGTGATCATCGCTTTCTGTATACAAGTGCAGTGTTGTTCAATATCTTGTGGTGGATTTTGACTGATTGTGTCTGTCACTGAAGACGAATAGCTCATCTGGACCGGGTAATCAGCTAATCTGTTCGCATCAATCTTATGGTGCTTCGTTTTTGGGGACCTTCCAAAACATGCAGAATTTCTCCCAAAGCAGCACATGATCTGAGTAAATGAAAGGACCAAAAAGTTCTGTAGTCCCGTACGCTGCCATGCCATCTGAAGCTGGCTACCGTGTGATCGTTTTGAGACCACGCTTGTGTCTGTGAAAGGGACACCAAGTTGCGGAACCTTTCTTTGTATACCTTAAGCTGGTGCTCGGGAGAAACATATAGCAGTCTTCGTACAATGTGAGAAGTCTCTCAGTTATCTCAGCGGTCTTCGTCAAGTGGCTGTTCTGTGCATTGCAATCCCCAACAAGCACACCAACATCCGATTTGTTAGTGCTACTCAAAAGCTGCTAAAGCTCCCGATAAAAGTCTTCTCTGACCGAGTCACTACTTCAGTCAGTTGAAGCGTACTCGGAAATCATGAACAAGTTGCGTCGCTTCTCACGACGCTTGTTGATTCTACATGAACTCTGAAGTAGAATGGCACACCGTCGGCTGTTACTCTTGAACTAGTCCGGCAATGCGGCCCCGGTCTTGTCGCTTAGCGCCATTCCTACATTAGCTAAATCCACTGGGACTGCTTCTGGGTCTCCAGGAAGACGCGGGTGAAATCTGGCTTCGTGCTTAGTTGGGGTGTCAGCGTGAGTAGGGTGCTGGAGTCCTGAAATCGGGTTTCGGAAAGGCAACAGATGTCAACATCAAAGGAGTCTTGGGTTTGCGCTAGACCGGCTTGCTATATGCCATGTCCTCAAAAAGCTAAAGTTACGTCTAGACTTTAAAGCGACCGTACACCATGAAAATACTATGCACCTGTTTCATCCTTTGGATGCACGTCAGCAGGGCTCATTCCGTTTGTCCTTTAGAAAGTTGAAGCCTACAACTTTCCTTATAGGAGTCAATAGTTAATGCCACTACGGCGACGAACAAACTGGCTATAATACTGTTTGCAACGTATCACGGCTCGATCTCGTTTTTTTGTCGTGCTAAAGACCCAGCTGTACCTCGGTGGCATAACCTTGTTTGATGCGTCCGCATCGTTCGATCTCACTTTACGATAACTTGGCACTGGTTGATCTTTACTGAGCAATGTAAAGAGAGATTTAAATGAATTTCAATGTTTTCCTTAAGTTGACGCGGTTATCCGCTGCTTTTCCATATGTGCAGTGACTGCAGACCGCGTGTAACTGTGATGAATCTCCTTTGTAATTAATCTGAATCCACCCCTGCACTATCGTACGTTCATGTTTTCCCAATCACTGAGTAATCTGTAACAAGGGATAAAATATCCCAGGTGTGGACATCAGAATCAATAGTTAGCATACAAGCTCGTTGTCACTGGTTTCTCATCAGGCCTTAACAACAATCTGCTATTCCAGTTATCTTACTGTGCCTGCAATGATTTCACCTTGCTCTGTCTGTGACCCCTTTTACTTTAACATCGGTCCGACTACTGGGCTTCTTTGCATTTCCTGCGTCTTATGGGAACTCAACATAGTTATTAATACTATTCTTCCTGTTAGCATTTCGAGTTTTTTGTTCTTTGTTTCTTTCAGTCGAGTCAATTGAACCGAGACTTCAACTGAAACTCGCTTTTTCGTGGATATTGAGCATGCGATTGGTTACTGTCGTTATGCAGCTAAAATCGATTGACGAGCATGCATTGCTTCGTTCCTCCTCTGGAAGGTGAGAACGTTGCGTCACGTTTTGTATTTTATTTGATTAATTGGCGTCCCTCTCCTAACCCACCGTAACTGCAGATTATTTACTTTCTTTCCGCCGTTGCCAGTGACATGTTGTGCTCAGAACTACTCCTGTCAAATCTGTCGTGGGGCGATGAAGGGGTTAGCGCCGATCTCCCTGCCCTACTTGCCGCCTCGTCTCAGTTGTGGAATGCCTGCCAGCCTATTGGTCGCCCCTATTCATGGGCTCAACAATTATGCGGCTTTCATTGTCTGATGGAAGTGAGCGCAGATGCCTCAACAACACCGACATTTTCCATTAAAGGAGTGGAGGAGCCACTTCCCGTCGACGACGAGCTCTGGAATCGTGGTTTCAGTACAAAGTTTGGGCGCATTGACGCTTGGCTCCAAGCAGTCGAGCAACGGTTACGTAGTCGGTTGGCTTTGGTGAATGAGGTAAATTTCTCTTCCGGACATGAAAGCTTAACATGCTATCTCTGTTACGAATGCCACTGTCGCGTTTGGCCTGTTTCACTCGACTGTGTGCTATTATTCTGTCTGATCATGTTTCACGATTGTCTCATCCTGTGGATTTCAAGTCAAATCAAACTAAACGTTATTCACTAGGTTAGAGGAGTTATTACCGATTGCACCTTTCTTAAAATGGTTTTGAAAATTGGTTCGTTGAATCTTACTCTTTATTCGTGAGTAATATAGGAAACAAAGTATAGAATAACTTTTGGATCCTTAGGAGTGGTGCGTTCTTTGTGAGTCTACTGCCTGTTGTCCATTGACATGGAACTGGTCAATCGTTGCCATCATCATCGCTACTCAGTTGTGCTGGGATTGTATTAATTCACTTTTATAGACTTTATTATCTGTTGTACCGCTTCTACTTTACCTCTGCTCTCTGTCCAGACGACAGTTCTACTGCCGATAGCTGCCCCTTAAGACTGCGACTGTCTGACTGATCAGTCACGCGCCCAGCCAACCGACGGAATACTAAAGGCCAGAACTAGGTAGACAGAGAGAGATGTATTGTATGAGGGCATGGCGCAACAAATAGGTTGTGGACAACTACTAACATGATACTATTGGAGATGCTAATTGATGTTAATTAATACAACTCAAATGGCTCAAGTTCATGACCCAACTTGCCGCTGATTTCACATCGATTCACATTTTGATCTGTACTCGAGTTCAATCTCTAGTTGTAGATCGATCCGTTTCTACGCCACTGCTCTCGGCTTGATTGTTGGCTTTAAGCTTTCTCTCCGTAACATTATCTGTTTTATTTTAATTTGCTTATTTGAACGAAATAACCACAGTTGCACATACTGCCACCTTATTGTGTCCACACTTACTCATTTTCCTCTTTTATCCAGGTGTCTAGGTCTTCCTTATTTATTTTTCAGCCATTGCTTTCTTCTGATTTTTGTTTTCACAATGCAACTGGAACTTAATGTGTTGCCGTTATCTACGTGTGTTCGATTCAACGGCGTATCCTGGAAGGTGCTTTTGGGAGCCTGCTTCTTCCAAAGAGATCAATAGTCGGAGGCCAAGCAAACCCATTTTTAGTTCTTCATATTGGGGGGTTGTAGGTGAAATGGCACCTTTCTGTGAAAATGATCCTTTTCATGAATTTCCACCTTATTCGGCTACCTTGATGTAGGTTTTCGAGCCAAACACTTGTTAACAGTCATATTCGTTTAGTTCCTACAGCAGTTTACCAGGTGACAAACGATCATATCAATCTGAAGTAACATATTCATGACGTTCGTAACAACGGATGTTTGCTCTCTGGTTTGATGTCGCCGAAAATTGCGTTTCCCTTCCTGCATAGTTGATCAAACACTTACCTCAATAAATATGTGCTCTAGCTGCGATTTTCTATAGCTACAGAACATGTATTGCTCTCTTGTCCTTTTTTGTCTAAAGGCTCAGGTATGACAGTTCACTCATTTTGTTCTTCACTTGGTTCTCTTGATTCTCCTCTTCCATCGGTGACTTTTTTCTAGTTGACCATGATCGAAGCGGGAAGACCAGCTCTATCTGTCGAGCAGATGAGTCTTCTTTCTCCCTCTCGCGCTGCGGATGTGCAGCTGATCGACTGGAAACGAAGCACTGTGGCCAGACTACATGTGGGTTTTCACGGTCATTTGTTGTGTTACTTGTGTGTGCATCCGCACGGAGTTGGTAACATGGCGTTCCCGACCGAAAGATGTAGCCCGACTGGGATCCTCAGTTGCCAATGTTGCACGTCGGCTTTTCACGTCAGATGCCAACTGACCCGGAATGATTGACTTGAGCGTTCTAGTGCATACCATCCGGCCTTTGTATGTTTATTAGAAGCACTAAAATGTTAGAGCTAGAAAATAATGGTTGGCAACCCGGTTGTTTGTCATACCACTCCATCGCTAACGAGTAGCACCACCTATGTAGTGAGAGCTTGCAACACGTAAGCGCTGAATTCATTTATTTGAATTGATTAACTACCCGCGTTAGCTATAAATGTCATAACGCGAGTGCCAGAACTGACTCCTACTCCAAATGTTGGGAAGATGCACGGCCGTGAATGATAACATGCGCCCACTATCATTGAGTAGATCACGTCGGTTCTCCTGTACCAGTGATTAGCCACTTCCTAGGTCACCATGTTCGTTATGAAATCATGCTTTCGGTTACCGCCTAAATGACAGAACGCTCTTCTCTTACCAGTGTGGACGGGTCGTGACTTATTTTTAGATTACGCGATAGTTTTTTATTTTCAGTTTTCAAATAGTCATTTTAAGGCGACTAGCGTCCTTTTGACTATCTATCTCTAACCGTTTTACCACTTTGCGATCAAGGTGCCTTGTTAGAAGTTAATTTCTTTGATTCCCCAGATTAACTAGATGATTGCTTATCTGATGCGATGTGATTGTCCCATCCTTTGTGCTGTTCTTTTTTAGACAGTTCCCAGGGCTCAAGTACCCATTGCTCTTCATCTCATCCAACCAACAGACGCCATTTTCCAGTGCGAATTTATTCGCGGGACCTCTTGTGAGTCATCTGTTTTGTTACACATCATACTCGGTTCACAGTGCAGTCGTCACTTTTCATAGTTAGCACGACGCAGTCACCGGAGACGTTCAGCTTCCGGGCATCGCGTGACATTCCGCATTTTGTATTTTTGTCGGCCGTGTGCTGTTTGTAATTGTATCTCCCCTATCTCCTTTCTATCCACGTTTGCTTAAATGATTTGATAGGGCGCGGATCTTACCATCATTCTACACATTGACTAAATCTGACAGAAGCACCTCAGATATTGTGACCTAATACAGCTACTAGCTGATGATAATAAGTCACTCTTTTGTATTACTTTCACTATATAACACGAATATGCTCATGATTGTGGGTGAAACCAAGCCGGATAGGAGGGCCAGGGAAACTCGAAAGACAAGCGCTATTGTGATGCGATCTTTGTCACGTCAACAGGCGTCTCAAAACGAGCGTGTTTGTCGCCTTCGGGACCCCAGTCGAGGCCAGGTTGGAAGTGTGATCATTTACTTTTCTTGACCAAGTCATCTACTGGCTTCCCGTCGTCAGATAGCCTAAACGATAACCTGCTTGCCTTGTGATGCGGAGGTCGCCGATTCGAGTCCGTGTATCTGCGGGTTACTTCGCGCTATACACAATCCACGCGCAACTGTTGGTGCTCATGTGGCAGCTAACCGTCACTAAAATGTACCGGCGTACTGCTGATTCCTTTCTATCTCGTCGAGACTAGATCTTAACTTGGGCCGGTGGTTCGCCTACCTCCGTGACCCATTGACCTACTCTGCGTGACACTTTCAAGTGCCCTCAGAGCTACTTCTACTAGACACGCTAATGGTTAGAAGTCAAACCAATTCAGTCTCACAATCCTCTTCAGAGGTATGGGAAAGGTCCGTGGCCCTCTTCCCCTAAATCATAGCCTTGGGAGTCAACGGGTCTACGGGTTATATGCTCACAGCTAGATTTGCGTAGAGCACGAGCGCCACGCATTCTCTGGCGGTGGGAGGACACCAGACTACTCTTTTGCTTTCTACCGTCCGTCTCCAGCCAGACAGCCCCTGGTCAAATTGATGCAAACCCACCAACACCCACCTGCAGCTGGCCATGGCCGTAAAACATGAATTATTTGATCACGCCGGTACTGGTGCACCTCGTTCTGTCAGGATAAACCCTTTAATTGTTTACATCTCCAAAGACCGTGGGCAACAGTCAGATCCCGAACGGTCTCTGCACTCACAATCCCTAGCTTGAATTGCTCCCCACTGCCCTGTGGTTCAGACTGTTGGATCAAAGGCTGGAGGTAGAGCACCTCGAACAAAACCCCTTTCTCGGAATGGGCAGCTGGAGAGGATCAGCTGTCCCCTCGACCTCGGCGACAACACTCTATCTTGTTCTTCTCTACCCTTATCTCTCTTCACCATCTATAGAGCAAGAGACCACCACTGACCGCGCAGCTGCTGCCATCGATACATGTAGCTCGTCCATCAAATCTAGAGTATCAGTTCACATTGGTTCATTTAATATCCGCGTTCTAGGTTAAGTCCACCAACAGACATCATTAACTGTTACTCTACACTCTTTTGTTATGAATGTGTGCCATGTCTCCGAAACACGTATACAAGATAACAGCTTTGTGACAAATCCTCGATTCTCTGCTTCTGCATCTAACGAAGATGACTACACTCGTTGTGTTTCTGGCGATACTGAGTTAATGGCTCAATGCGTTTATGCCCTCAGCACATTAATCTACTCGACTGAATTCCGATGAACAGCCACACGTGTGCGGTTTGACTTCGATCCTCTATTGAGGTTAGTAAGCACCGTCTGGAGACAATGTTTTTTATCGGTTCCCTCTATGCCCCTACTTACTGCAATTCGGAGGGTTTCAAAGACGATTTCCATCATCAGCTATCATTTATTCTCCGCATGGCGAAATATACTGCTATCGTGATTGTTTCTGGGGATATGAAGGCCTAAGTGGGTCGTCTTTCAGACTCTATACAACACCCGGGAGGCCGCTTCGGGGTCGATGTATGCCGGACAGTGGCGATGAATTCCTGCAACTGTGTGCTTACCACAATCTTTATATCAGCGGTACTGCTTTCCAGCACAAACATGCACATCCTGTCACCTGGAACCTTCCGAATTCCTCGGTTACCTGCAGCACACGGCTACATGTACATAGCCTAGCCATTCGCCGTCATGATCAGAACTTCTTGATGTCCATGCATTTGGATGTTGAAAATCTTCGATTCATTATGTTTCGTTGGCATTGAACATGCCCGAGTATTGTTTATGTCTATTGACCTTAGCTGATTCACTTAACACTTGCGGTTGTTGCACATGGCTACATTCCATTGACTCCACGGCTGCCATCTACCGGTTTTTGGACTTGAATGTTAAAGTTATTATTAACCTCCATTTAATTTCTTTTCCGTCAAATCCTGCTGTTGAATTTCCACCTCTACCCTTTTATCCTCTTCTATCTGGCATTGCACAAGATTTAAAAAATCTTTCAGCATGAGGACTTTTTCGACCTTTTCATTGCACTGTACCACAAGTTTCGTCTTTGTTCAAAATCACCAGACAAAGACTGCATGAGCTCTAGACCATGACGCCCACAGTTAACCACCAAGTGCTTGCTTCTAATTTCGACCGTCTCTACCTGACGAGTCCTAACTAGGAGGAAACTAATCCTTACTTTGCATGCGATTCCAATTTTCGCAATGACCGACGCCTGCTTCGAACTATGTCGTGCTTCTATATGACATTGCTTTTCGTGAACAGTACTACAATCAGCACTTTTTTATCTTATGTTCTGTTTCTCGTTTTTTATCGTATACTTCTTAGGTTCTGCTATTGTCTGGGTGTGTCTGCCTGTCGATTATCCCCTGAAACCGCCGTTGATTGTTGTGGATTCTATCAGCACCAGAGCATCGACGAGGAAGTCGGAAAAGTTTGTGGACAGCGGTTTGTCGGACTTACAATTACAGGTAAATCTTACCCATTATTCATTATCCACATTTTAATATAAAGTGCATAAAACGCTCACATTCCTTTCTGTTGCTTTGCATCGATCCTAGGAACTGGAATCGGAGGTTAACTGTTTCTGGCAGGAGTTCTTCACTACCAGTTCTGCCACTGATGTGTTTGAACGCAACATCCTCTCCTGTCAACTGGAGCGCTGTGCCTGTTGTCTAGACGCCCTGTGGTCCATGTCAGGCTCCGCTGATAATCGCGGCGTTGCTGTCGCAGTGAATCAGACACGGGGTATCAGGTAGGAGTGGTCTGATCTGTTGTATTTGTGTTCATTTGTCAATTTCCCAACTTGATTCAGTTAACCCAAGATGTCGAATATCTTTCCATATGTTTTCTTAGGATTCTCCCTCTACCTGAGTGTAGATGCAAACATGGTCTCTCGTTAACACTTATGGATTATACTAGTTTTCCCGCCGAAACTGTTGTGCCGTTCGAGAGCATATTCCTCTCCCTACCCTATTTGTTTGATTTTACTCGGTAGAAAACTGTTCAGTCAATCCGAGCTACTCCATTTGCCGCTTCTGTACCTTTCAAATCCATTCCTTCCTCTTCCCCATGTGCACCTTCCTTTCATCACTGACAGCCTTTTCTCCTTGGAGAACTATCGTCTCAATGCCACTAAAGTTTCACTGTTTGCGTTTATGTTCTCACAGTGCTCCCACATTTACAAACTGTTTAGCAAACCACGCTGCCAGTTATCGTTGATTACACTTAACTTGCTTGCCCTTAAACACATGGGACACTAAGATGCATATCCACGCACACTGAGGGCCCAGGTGTCCACTTGTAATACGTCTCCGAAGACGAAATCCACATTTCTCGCATAACCATCAACATTATGGCACCTGGTTTGTACCCTCGCTGTGTGCGTCCGACAGTTATGATTCAACAGACTCGACTTCGAGGCGGCATCCTCAAAGGTGTACTCTATTCCGGACCCCACTCTCTCTCTCCTAGTGCAGGCAGTTTAGAGATAGTGTCTTAGTAAGATTATGAACGTTCAGGTAAGCCAACTCTGCTCATTAGCAATTTCCTGCCCGGGCACGTTGGTGCTTATTGCCTAGATCACGAACTATAGCGAGTGCTTGATTCACTTGTGTGTCGATCGCCAGTTCTTTCTGTTTGGCATATCCATCAAACGCTTCCTAATTACTAGTCGGCAAGGAAACCAAGTCACTCCTATCACTATTTTCTTAGCCCTCTACTCGTGACTCACGCTCGTTTTGGAACACGTGCCTTGATTTCATCCATCTTCTGATCTTCACCAGAGATTCCACCAAATCACCACCTCCATTGACAACTAAGAGGTCGCCTGAGTCCGTGGTTTATTGAACTCATTAAAATACCACACGGACTAGAGTTTTCCTCTTGATGTCTCGTCATCATCATCAATACACGTCAGCTGGAGTGAGACACACCTCACATATTGTGCTACAATACAGGATAATACACTTATCGGATTAAAAAAACTAAAAAGCTAATATAATGGCAAATATCATATTAGGCATACGGTATGAGATCGTTGCTGGAGGAGAAGCTAAAGGGAAGGAGGGAGATAAAGAAACTCACAACACAAATTCCATTGAGATCGGCTTCTTGCCATGTCAACTAGTGTATCCAACCAAACGTGTTAATATTCCTTCGGACCCCACGCCGTCAGTCAGGAGACACTGACCAATGCCATTTTCAGAGTCAGGACATTCATTCCTCTTGACCGGGTCGTCGCTTGGCCTTCCATCCTCTTCTGCCATCCACACCCCCGGCGCAACGCACAATGCGGGATCCAGTGCGCTAGCGTACGCAACACGTGGCCCAGCCATCAGAGCCTGATGCGTGTGATATAATGGTGCTGAGCGGTTCACTCGCTCTTCCTTCACCAGATACACGACACCAAACACATTCATTGTTCCTGCGGTGTTCCCTCCAGACATGAGCTATGTTCTGAAGGCAGCGATAGTCGAAGGTTACAAGTCTCTTTATGTCTGTCGAGATGGGGGACAGTTTTCACGTCCGTACAAGAGGGTTGGAAGGATAACTACATTGTAAACTCTGCCCTTCAGGGCTAAGGTGATGTCACGCTGGCGCCACAGGTGGCGGGGATCGTCAAAAGCGCCTCGAGCTTTTGCTATACAGTTGGTGATCGCATCTTCGATCCTGCGGGTGCTAATATAGCTGCCGAGAAAGTTGAATTTCTCTCCGACTTCTAGCTGATCACCGCCAAGGGTCAGTGCAGAGGTGGGTCGCTGCTAATTTTGGAGGACTTGCATTTCGGCAGTGCTAATTCATCAAATGCAACTTAGCACTTTTGGGAGCTGTCACAGCTAATGGCAACATCGTCGTCGTACTCCACGTCAAAAGTCGGTCATATGGGAGCAGCTCCACCCTTTGTAGGTCGTGTCCAGTTAATGCGATCTCCATGACTTCGTCAATGGCGAAAGTAAAGAGGAATGGTAATAGCGACCAACCTTGTCTCACATCGTTGGAGATATTGTAGGGCGGTGACAGTTTATCACAAACTCTCGCTCTGCTCGAATTGTGGGCATACAGCGTTCTGAAAATGTTCACGTATTTATTGGGTCCACCGTCCTCGAACAGACAGCCTCAATGGGCACATCGATCCACCGGATCGAGGGCACTTTTGATGTCTGGGAACATGACTTCGGTAGCTCAGTAGTACCAATGGATGTGCTCCAATAATTGAGTAAATCTGAAGATGTCGTCAATGCAGCCTCCATTTCGACGGGCACAGGGTTGCTCCTCGCGAATCTGGCTTTCACGAGTGCCAGTCACTTTATGGAGGACGACAGATACAAGTAACTTGGAGGCAGTAGAGATCAGACGGTTTCATCTTTGATTGCCACATATGGAACTGGAGCCTCCCTTGAAAATTCGGAGTATAACGGAGCGGCCCCAGTCTGTTGGGACAGTCTCCAGTTCCTGCAGATTCACCAGTACATTATTCAACTCATCCATTAGGACAGGTCCACCGGATTTACAGTGGGCTGGATGAAGTCCATCTGCTTATGCGGCCTTATTCAATTTCAACCGTCTTATCTCACATTCGATTTTTCGCCATAGGGCGCATCCAAGGAGGCGGCCCGGGGGAAGAGCGGTCAATAGGCGTTAGAGATGTTGGTAACTGCAAGTGCTCCAAGCGCTTTGACAACCTGTGGATCGGCTGTCCACTCTCCTCACGTATGGTCTCGCTAACTCCAAGTCTCCTGCTGCGATTTGCCCGTATGAGATGGAATAACTTACGATGGTTTTCAAGGGCAGTAGCTGCCTCCATCTCCGAGGCACGATGGGACCATCAGGCTCTTTGGTCTCTCTTCAGGATAACACACAGTTTATTCCTGAGATCTTTGCGGGTCTCATTGTGTTCGCTTCCAGCCGGAACACGTCGGCGAACATCGATTAATTACAGAGGCTGCGTAGTGACCCAGTGTCCAAGTAGGCAATTTGATTTGCCACATGAAGACATGCCTGCTGCAAATAACATCTGGCGGGTATGCGACCAGTGATCTTCAACTGTGCGCAGTGAGTGGTTACTCAGCTCGGATGCCAACGTACTTTGTTACGCACTCAGAACATCGCCAGTTGACAAGTTTCTTTGCGCTCACGGCGCCCTTGCGGACGTCCGCCGAACGGCAACCGAAGGTTGGCACACAAGAGCGTGGTCGGAGTCTACGCCCGTGCTCCAAATCGAGCGACAATTTTGGACACATCCTCTCCAGTGTTAACGGATCGCAATGTGATGGATTTGAGTCCCTGGCTGGTTTGAGGCGACTGGGCGCTGTTACTCTTCTGAGGCTGCTGTGTGGGAAGTTAGTGCTTGCAAGGAAGAGACGAGCATCTTCCCACAGGTGTGGCAATCGCTCAGTATTATCGTTACTGGAACCTGCACTATGTTGGCCGCCCAGATATAGCTTATCAGTGGACAATTTTCCAACTTTGCGTTTAAATCACCAGCCACACCCCCTTTATCCGTACGTTTTCTGTATCGAAGGGGCATGTTCAGTTGGTGGTAGAATTCATCCCTCTCCGAGTCAGCGTTGCAATTTGTGGAGCCGTATACCGCAGTGACCAACAAGCACCGTTTGTCGTCACACTACTTCGAAGCTTTGAACGAGCCAGGCAATCTGACAGCGCACATCTGGCTGTTCATTTTAATCCAATTGATCGGGGCAGCTTCAGCCCATACTGACTTGACGAAGATTTGAAGCTGCGTCATCTCCAGACAATCTCTATGAGAAAATAACGACAATGCTTTATGAGTAAGCACAGAACTCGAATTTTGCAGGTGCGTTTCTGCTAAGTGGCAGTTGTCTATCGATGGGGTCTCCAATGTTCAGGCAAGTGCTAACTTGGCCAGTCTGTAGCAAGTTGCGCACGTTGAGCCATGCCAGTCTTAGCGAGGATCGAGAACTACGAAGGGAAACGGATGAACTGACGTTGTTCGCTTAGTTGTATATGGACTTGTCGACTGAACCGCCGTGCGATGGTGTGTGCCTTGAGACTAGAAGACAAGCGACTATTGAAGCAAGATGAGGGAGGGCCTAGAATTGGGGGGGGGGCACAAGTGAAGTTGGGACGGGACGATAAAGGTGCAAAAGCGTAAGAGGAAGACTTGACCAGCAGCATCCAAACCCGTATCCACCCTTCTCGATGCAGCAAATATGGCGCTGTTTATTGTCCTTTGCGGTAGCCGGCGCATCAAGGACCTTTTTGAGGAAAGATTCCTTGTATTGCGTGGGCAGGATACTGTCAGGTTGCTCAGGCCTAGACAGAAGGAATAGGGTTCTCAATCAAAGCCTTTGGTTCTAAAGCCTTACCACAACGCGGTGAGGTTTTGGTAATGGGCAACTGAGAATCCGTTTTATGAATTAAGGAGCCACCATAATTTCAACCCTCAACCTTGAGGGCCAGAAAACTGAGTTTGTTAGTTCTCTAACCATTGACCAATCTGGTATGGATATGGTATGACTCTGAAGGTGCAAAGGCACTACCTAGCATAGCCCAATGAACTGCTGAGGGACACAGACCATCACACCACATTAAATTACAGTCTCTTAGGATGACCTTTTGATATCTGGTTTTAGTTAAATAAGATTTCTGTTGTCTGACATGGAGCCGGGTATTTTGATCTAGACGCTATTATCGGGCAAGTAATACCCCAGAAATCAATGTATTGGTTGAAATCAAGAAGAAAGGTCCTTGCTAGCACCGAGCTTAATGCGACCACGGGTCAATAGGCGCTTCGTTGGATGGAAATTGCGAGGCGATCTATGCAGGACTCAAAAGAACAAAAGGATGATGTTCCCACTATTTTCCATGTTTAAATGGATTGTATGTTTTGGCGAGATTTAAGTTCAGCATCGTGTAGCCGCCGGTCCGCAGGCGTCACAGTAACAAGCTAAAAGGCAAGAGGTCGAGGTGTGTTGTTTCGTTTTAGCCTTGCCCTCTTATTCCTCTCCGTTACTTTTTCCTTCTCTCTCCCTTGCTTCCTTAGCTACCGCCTCTTGCTAGGCGGTTGAGCATCCAGCCGTTTACGATGTATTTATTTTGTGTGGCAGCTCTGAGGGTCTATTACGGCCCGTTGTACTATTTAGACACCGAAGAGCTTGGAATGCTGGACCGGAGCAATAGTACAGGCGATACAGACCCCTCTGGGCATCCGATCTGCTCTAACGCAAACACTATTTGGTGTGTCCTTCGCACCCTATCAGTGCAAGGCGGGTTGTTTTTTCTCGTTGGGACATCGTCAATTCTCTTTCTCAACACACGAATAGTCCGATTAGTTGGTCATTTACTCGTGTATGTAGCTATATGGCCTTCGTTGGGCACATAATCGCGCGCTCAACCTGAACCGCCTGCTACATAAACGTTCCTGTTGACCACCTATTTGCCGCGAATGCACACCGTTTGGTTATGCCACAACATTGCCGACTGGTCCCATGACAAGCATGAGAAGTAGTTGGTGCTTACTCCGTTCCCGAATAAATGTCCAATGTATCTCATTCGTGGAGACTTTCAGAGACTTTCAGTCGTAGTTGCTAATTTTCCACTTCGGCGATCCTTCCTTACTACTCGTAGCATTTCCAACGAGTCTTGTTCTTTACATCCGCGTTGGTCCTCCCTTTTATTTTTATCATTTCTAGCTTTCGTCATTGCGACATGTGTCCAGTCGATTGACTGCCACACTTCGTTGTTCGAATCGCTAGGATGCCAAGGTGAACTGATATGAACTATAGCCTCTCAGCATGTCTGTCAGTTTGGTGCTCCTTAACTTTCCTTGTTTATCCCTTTCATTTCAATCGGTTACTCTGTTTCAAGGCTTCATCGTTTTTTTCTTTGTTTCCGTGGATTAAAGTCCTATTTTGCTAAACACACCTTTTCTGGGAGTTATTTGAGCTTTAATGAATTCCGAGCATTCTGTTTCCATTGTCAAATTAAAAAGTCAGTAAGAATACGTGTGCAATTGTGTTCTATGATCACTTGCGTACTGGTAACATACTTATCGTTTTGTTCTCGATCATAAGAGAATACAAAGCGACCAGGGTCTATAGACCATTAAGTTGGGGAATGGTTATGAACTTCACGAAAGCTTTAGTGACAGCCACTTCTTTAAAGTGGAGCGTTACCGCCGATGAAGGATTACGGCTTCGGCAAACCTAAGTACTGTTATACTTTCATTTTGATGGTTAATCTTAATCGCCGCTTCGAGGGAAATTTGATGATCGAGGTATCTACCAACAGATGAGACTTGAAACTTACACATTTTTACCTATCTCTTTGCTTGCTTCGCCACTATTTTAACTATCCATCCTGGAATATCGTCTCTAAAGAGATACCACTCCTCTTTCTCTCCTTTCGCTTGTGATATCTTTGCCAACGGTGTAATCTAAACTTTTGCTGTCTCTCCTCCATGTCACTGCAACACATATTCCTTGTTTTCCTACTCGTAGCCAACATGTTGCCATTCTCGTCTATATATTGACGCAGCATCGTTTGGCTCCTCAATATCAGATGTTGTCTTGCCAATTGCCAAGCCTATTTACCGAGTTCCTTATTTTAGTCACTCTCCTCATCTCAGGCGCGTTGCATTGCTTTCAGTGTGAATTGTTCGTTTATTTTCCCTTTGACACAACTTAAATGATTTGTACAGTGGATGCTTCATTCCGTTTGTCCATGAATCATGTATGCCATACTGCCCCACAATTATGTTAGTTTCATTTTACTTCCGAATCCACCCGAGCTTCTGTTTTGTGTGGGTGACTTTTTATCAGCATGCCAGTTTGTCAATAGGTAACCTCATGAAACAATCTGACCGTCCAGTTTTCTGTGGTTGCTTCGAATGAAGTGGTCGCTGGTCGCCTTTTACTCAGATTCAGGTGTGGACTCCAATGACATTTAAACTGCATCCCTCCCAACTCTTGTCGTTTTCCTGTATACTGTCCACACAATACAATTTCTGTGACAAGGTCACTCGCACTATTGATCGTTACCTTCGTTGCTCAGTCTTTTCTCATAGGGCTTGCCTCTAACGCTCATTTGTTCTTTGTCTTGTTATCTAGCGGTCGATCACGTTCGAACGATACTTACTTCTTCACACAATTTTTTATGTTGCCCTTACAGTGTTTCGTAATTTATCGTGTAATGTTTCGCATGCGAATTTGGCTCTATTGTGTGAACAGTTTTAACCTAACTTTCCGTCTTCACTGCATTCCGTGGTCGTTTTGTCTTGTTCCGTGAGTTCAGTTGAGATTGCTCCGGTTACACTAAGCGCCATCATCATTATGGCACTCGAGTTCGTAAGCAGCTTTTGTGACAACCTTCAGGAGGTCGCGCTGTATTTTTGAGCCAAGACTCGAAAGCTCCGTTGAGACCATGAATTGCTTCAAGATGTACCTGACTATCGCGGATGCTACCCTTATGCGGCAGTTATTCTTATTTCCGTTCTCCCTCCCTTCATTTATCATTTCAGATACCCAACACGAAGTCTTCCTCTCAGGTATCTTCCCTCCATTGGAGCTTTTACTCACCGATGAATTACGTGTGCCAATCCGATCCACTGCTTTCGCAGTCTACTTTCTTGCAAATACATCGCATTGGTTTTCTTGTATTCAGCCTACGGTTTTATTTACGTACTGGATGATGAATCAGGCCTGGTGGTAGGGTGATGAGTATACGTTCGGATGAAGACCACTGTCTGGCGCGGTTAGGCAGTTGTCCAGAGCGGGAGAAAAGCGTGAATCACCGTTTTTCACATGAAGAGGAAGTGATTGAACCGACAAATTGATAGCGCATACTACAGAATCAACCGGCAGTTGTTTGTGCACTGGAGTTACTTGCTTAAACCAGTGCGCTAGAACGTATGCAGCTACACATCAAAACAGTTGTCACTAGATGTTACTCACCCAACCAAAGAAGTTAGTATTTTCGGAATAGCGGAATATGCCGATAGAAAAATAATGAGAGGTTTGGGAACAGCGGGTTAATGCATTTACTTTAGAATATTTCCCTTTTGACACAGATCTCGTCAAGCCGGATAAATACATGTTCAGTTGCAGAGGCATTTTTTAGGGAATGAGGGCGATAACCACGATTACACCAGCACCATTAAACACTCCTTCAATTGTAGGCTGAATCACCTTCCTTGGTGATGGTTTCATGTCAAAAGCGAAAACTTACTTAACGGATACACCAACCGATTGTTTGGAAACCTTTCTGAAATTAGCAGGTATTTCAATCGAAGTATGTAGCGTTTTCGTGGCATCGAAGTAACTGTCCTCATCGAACACATGTGCAATCCGGGTGCCCCACAGCCAGTACTTACTTGCTTACTCGTTCTGTACTGATGTGTGCTTGTTTGTTGCACCGATGTAGCTCGGGGCATAAGCGGCTTAACCGAGCAGGTCGATTGCAAGATCAGCGCGTCGATCCTCTCATGCTAGGGAGCTGGCGACCAAGGTGATGCGGATCGCAGTTATGTGTGATCTGTTAGGTTTGTCTACACGAATCCATCAGTTGGTTTCGGTTGACTTCGTGCACTGAAGTGTGGTAGACTCGGTTGGCTTGAGTTAGGTCACCAAGTTAATATTAATTGTTGTAAGCGTCAAACCGCTTGGAAGCCTTGAGTGAACTCATTTCCACCGGAATCAACAAACTCGAGGCCGGCAATTGAATTCGGTGCTATTTGCCAACAATTAGCAACAGCAGGTCTATAGTACCTCAACAATTTGCGCATTAATAGTTTTAAATCAATTTAAAATAACCCACAAGTATGACTTCAAGTCGTACGCACAACAAGCTATCGTCTCAACGCAACTATTTGTATGGGACAAATAGATGCGGGTACCGATAAATTAAAAGGGAGGCTACGCTGAGGCAGTGGGCGCTGAGAATTTGTACTTTACACACAGAGTGATGAAATTGTACCTAGGAAGTGGAACTAAACAATAGGCCGCACGAGCCAACTTGTTACCATGTGTGCGAACTGCACCTGCATAATCTTTGCAATATTGTGTGGTCACTACTGCAATGTGAGGTACTGTGAACCGCAATGAACACATCATTGATCGCAGATCCTTCAAAACGGCCGTTTCTCTTTCTCCTTAGAGTACCTTTTTACGATATCTGCGGTGGGTTTCTCAATTTTGTCTTGCCGATCTCACAATTTGTCTATCCGGATCATTCTGAGATCATCAATGTTATCCTACTCAGCCGACTTTTGGAAATCGTTTTGGGGACGCTGCACGAAATGCGCCTGTCGCATGCGGTCACAAAGTCAGAAACACTATCGAACGAATTTTAAAACCGCTTTGCTAAAAGGAGGAGGCACCGTGCTGGCTGGCAAGCTGGACTCAGACGCTGTCTTATTAATAGTGTAAATTCCGCTAGTTCTCGTTAGTAATGTGCGCTCTCTACTCGGAAAAGCTGCCGAACTCATTGGCATTATGCAGCATAGGGAATATGCAAACAGGTCTTTTAATGGTACAAGAAAATTTATTACATGCTGATGTGGACGAATAGGTTATTTAACTCGCTAAATTTCGCGTCGAGAGGTCCGACCGCATCGGAAAGTCGCGAGGGAGTCGTTCTCACCCATGTGAGCCAATCGTGGTGTAATTCGGCTACCTTGCTGTCTACCTACTCAATATCAAAAATTAGCTGTTATCTAACCAAGTGCAAACCGAAATATCTGTGTGATTTTCTTTTCGTCGTCATCGGAAATATCTACATAGCTCCCGACACACCATCGACTAAGCTGAGAAATTTCAAAGATCATTTCTCACCAGTGTTACTACCTAAAATTGAGTGCTCTCTGTGTGTCGTTGCTGTTGACTTTGGCAAAAGTGATGCGATGTTCATCAAAAGACCTGGTCTAAAATATACGGTAATCTTCGAAACCAGACTTGATGCACAGTTGGACTTTGTTCTCACAAACAAAACTCAGTTGTTTTCTACTTTTAAGCGGGCTCATTTCGGCAACCCAGACCACTGTTTATCAACACTGCGACGTGGCAGATGTCACTCGCCACTGAGTAGTCACTGCCCACAATTACACTGGCATATTGACAAGAAATTTTTCCAATATTTGACGCACAAAATTACACTCTCAGTCTTCACATATTGTCATCACTTCACTTACTGTGCTTTTCCTGTTTACGCACATATGAATACAGTTCATCGTCGCCACGCTGACGATTTTGCTCCTCCTGCGTACTTGTTCCATCTCTGCAACTTGTACAACTTTTGGCTACAGCTAATTACGCGCATTGTAATGTATCTGTTGCGCGACATAATTGCTTTTAAGTTTTGATCATGCCTGATTTGGCGTGCCTCAATGAATTCGAGAATAAACTATTTATTTAAATATATACAGCAAGACAAGATTATCTCTGACAAAAAGCCCTTCAAAACCATTAGGCGGTGGTTGTTTCGCAGAAGATATCGCAATACTCCATGCGATGCTGGCTTCAACCGATTCATTTTTACTACTCACGAGTAGCAGGATATTAGTTGTAATTCTGATAAGACTTCATTCTAATAGTTCACAAGCTACATAGCAGAGCTTAGTCCGGAAAAGTGCCAGACGCATTTCGCCCTATTGGGGCTCGTCAGTGGCACGCATTCCCTCGGTCCTCTAAGGAGGATCGAACTCATGACCGCTAGAGGCAGATGCCAACTAGCCAGCAGCTTAAGCCACTGAGCCATGGGGAAGTTGGCTGGGCTACATCGATGGAAACCTATCTTTGGGGTGTGAACACCTTACCGAAGCTATCAACTTCTGCTTTGACCTAGGATGCCCCGTTGAACTTCACTACTTACGCATGGACAGATTCACTCTACCGCTGCTGAAGCCAATTATACGGAAGAAAGAACTGGCATATAAGCTAAAACCGTTAGTCCAAGTTAAACGACTATCGTTAGCAATAAAGTCAGAGATAATGCGACCGAATCGTTAATACATTAAAAGTGTGCTAGGTATTCATGATTATCGCGACCTCTGGCCTTTTAAGACAGCTATGTGTCAAAAGTTCTCTAATGCGTCTTGTTGTTGTGGATGTTGGCAGACTCAATACCGCGTTTTATCCTTCCCCAAGGGGTATGTGTTTCCTACTCCCCTTCGCGGACATCAATGCTACAGTCGCCTTTTGTCAGTCAGATATTTACAAGGACTTCAGAATATCGTAACGTAACGTAAGGGAGGGAGATGTACTCCCACTCATTACTCCGAAACTGTGGGTCCAATATGTTGACGACACTTTTGTGATCATCAAACGCAATCAAGTTACAGTCGCACAGCAGCCATTAAACAACGCCATTGAAGACATCCGGTTTACGATGGAAATGGAGAAGGAAAACCAACTGCGTTTCCTGGATGTATTAGTAACCAGAACCATGGAAGGGAGGTTGTAAACATCAGTTTACAGAAGACGGATGGAACAAATTCTGATCTTTAACTGTAACACCCGAAATTTCACAAAGTAAGCTGTGTGCGCACATTATTTGGTAGAGTGCAAACACACTGCAGTACCGCGGAGGAAAAGCAACAAGAAGAGAAGCATCTAGTTAAATATTTCCAACTCAACGGATACCCGCGAAGCTTCATCCGAAGGTGTCTGAACCACAACAAACCAAACAGACAATATGCACTGACGACGGAGAGATGCGTTGTTTTACCTTATATGAAGAATATATCCGGAATGGCAGGAAGACTGTTCAAGCAACATCACTTCATTGTAGCACACAAACCAACTGCTACACTGAGAAAAACTGTCGAAACCGAAAGAGAAATTGGAAGCTCATGAGCAAAGCAATGTTGTATATAGACTACTTTGTAGAAATTGCGAAAAGGACTATGTTGGCCAAACAGGTGGAAAATTATCAACACAATTACAAGAGCACAAAAGAGCATGTAGAATGCACTATGGATCATCGCTAGTCTCAGCACACGTGGATGAAAAAGAACACAGCTTTGACTAGACCAAAACAGAAGTCCTGGCACGATGTGAAACAAGTAGAGAAAGGGAGTTCTGGAAACGTGGTTTTCAACCAAGGACTCCATCAACATGCATATCGAGATTGACCCAGTTTACCAACCCCTCCGACGGAGAGAACTTAGAGAAATTATGAGACGCCAATTGAATAGGAACAACTCGACTGAGGGTTTCCGCCACGGGGCAATGGGTAGAAATCATGGGACACAGATCGAAGCCGTCACTTTCGAAAAGTTACCTGCACGCCGATCTCGGATCGACAATTTAGTCAGTGAGATTACACTCCACATGACGCACTGATGATGCCGCCTCACATTGTGGTGAAACCTTTGCCAAGAAATTTCCCAGCTCGGCGAACAAATGAGCAACCGAACACGTTGTAGTGCGTGACCGTATATTCTTTTTCGTCCTCCCTCAAGATATTCCGCATAGCATCCTTAGTTAAACAGTAATAACATTGGCATTGCGCCCCAATGTTGTACTTGTAATTATTCCTCTACCATGAGTTCCTTGTTGGTGGGAACAAAATCATTTATCGATGGCTTGTTAGCAGTTCGAAATCTGATGGGAGAGGTCATGTGGTTGTACAGAGGATAGCTTGAAATTACCTATTGTTAACAGG